GGATTTCCTTTGCGTTTTTAGGAGGCATGAAAAAATGGGGGAAAAGTTCGTGAAAAAAAAATTGCATGGAAAAATTTGCAAGGAAGTGAGGTCAGAAAATTTTTTAAATTCTCAGGATCTATCTTTCTGTCTTGCCTTGTGCGTTTGCAGTCAAATTTTGACATACCCTGTGGCAGATAGCAGCTGTTTTTTGCAGAATTTTAAAATCTTTTTACGATCAAAAAGTGACTATGATCGTGAACAAAAGGCTGCAGCACCAACGCCAGTGGATTCGCTGCCGCCGCAGCAAAATGCATCATACAACAAGCTTGTTGAACAGCTTGCAAACATCGATCAGGTGAGCAGAAGCTTCTGTCTCTTCTCTGTTACTGGCAGATAGCGTTTTAGTGTACCGCGGCACATATCTGTAGCACTGTTTCCAACGCCAAATTTCTGTTGTTGCTGGTTTTCGACATGCTCTGTGCTTAAGCAGCCCTAAGCAAAATTTGCAGAGGTAATTTTTTGCAACAAATTCGATGAAAAGATGAAAAACAAAATATCCTGCATTTACAGTACTTTTGGGGTCAGAATTGAGCCTTTCAATTTCCCTGAATCATTTGACATTTTTTACAATTCCAAGAGTACTTTTTCTTATAAGATGTTTCTCTTCTCGCACGGATAATTTCAGTTTCTTGATAGAAGTCTGTTAGACATGAAGATGCCGAGGGTGTTTGGCTCGGTCTTACAGTCTTCATATCATGGCTGGAATTGCTGATAGTTTTCCGGTAGCACTGATTCTTAGCATCGTCCCAAACACTCACACGTACCATTAAGCGTGAACTCGAGAGCTATATGTTGAGAATTTGTATGAAATCCAGGAAGTTTTCATTTTTTTTTATCGAATAAGTGAAAGGAACGAGCCATTTTTAGCTTTTGAGTGACCGCAATTCGCGATATCTTCTTGGCCAAAGTATGACAGAGTACGACTGCGAGTTGATGCCTCGTCTTCATCATATTCGGATCGTTGGACAGCGCCTGCTTGGCTTCGATATTCCACTGAATCTAACGTATCTGTGGAACTATGTGCTTACATCGTATCGCACCGCTGCTTTCATTGAAAGTTGTCCGGCCGATCAGGACATTCTTCATCACTACAAGGTCCGTTTATTATCCGCATCACCTTTTAATACTTTTACAAGCTTGCTGTGACGGAAGACAGTACTTTTCATGGGCTGAAAGTCAACGAGTTTAGGTTCGTAGATAAAAAATTGTCATTAAGTTTAGGCTTGGTAGTAAAAAATCAAACAATCTTCGATTTTTTTGGTGTTTTTTTTTTTGTTAACCAAAACCACCAATTTTTATGCGTTTTTTGCAGCAATGCAATGCGAAAAACGCATATTGACGAGAGGTTGTCTG